CTGATCACAGTGTTTCACTGTTTTGGCAGTTCAAATAACCTCACCGTCTACAGCATCTTTCATCATGAATTTCATAACATGTATGTGTATGTGACAATAAAGTATCTTCTTCTTCTTCTTCTTCTTCTCTTAAAGGGGCACTCCAACAATAAGGCTTAGTTTACTTGTGACGAGGAGTTCTACTCCACTCGTGAAAACAGTTGTGTAATGTCTTCTGTGGTTCTCCAAAGTCTGAATTTAAAGTCAAATATTAAACAGAAAACCTGAGGTGACCCATACTTTGCCCATACTAGGAACTAAAAGTCAGGATACCTTGGCCTCTGGTACTTTGTTTTTAAATCTGTCTCATGTGAGTCCCCAGGAATTATGGAAGTGAAAGCTTTTGGAGTGCAGCCTTTAAGTTTTCTTTAGGAAGTATACTATGACTTGTCAATCCTAACATTACAGCTTATTGTAATAATGTAGCAATTGGTTTTTGAAAATGATATACAAATGCTGGCTAACATTTTAATGTATTTAATGTATAAACATGATGTTGGGGTGTGACATAAGACAGTAATCATTCTTGAGTGTAAACTAATGTGCTATGCACTGTAAAATGAATGGCAGTATGTTTTGATAGGAAAGGCAGAAAAAATTGGATTGTTAAGCTACGAAGGAAAACAAGAATATCAGACATTTGCTGTAAAATAACAAAAAGGCAAAAGGCAATGGGAATACAATGGGCTGTCCAAGAAAAGGCTCTGGAAAATTGTGTTTCAAGGCATGAATTAAAACATGATTGATTTTTAATGGAGCAATCCCCATTGACCATATTGACCGGCGGGCCATAAAACTGTCTGGTCAACATGAGGCTGATTCAGACGACAGAAAATTCTGATATATGGGAACAGAGACACAAACGACTCCTGGGATGGAACAATGGACATACACAACCAGTGTGTGTGTGTGTGTGTGTGTGTGTGTTTGTGTGAGAGTGTGCCTGTGTGTGTGTTAAGATGGATAGTGCTTTGAAGTCACTTGCTCCGTGCGGGAAGTAGTGGTTGTAGCGCTAAACGTGCCTGGCCAGACCTGGTGTTAATACAAAGACTAGAGCCAATTCATCTTCACTGACACTCACCCAATAGCACAGTAAATTACAGAGCGGGGGACTGGGTGGGGGTGTTAAAAGATAGAGAGAGAAAGAGAGAGATAGAGATGAGGGAAGACAGAATTGGTAGAGGAGAAAGAGAGAGAGAAGAGGGATGTTGCAGAAAGGAGAGAGACGATATCCATATAGTTCACATAGCAACTTATAATGAATGCAACAGAATGCGTTTAAATTCATACATCATCAATATTAGAGGTAACGAACAGCAAGTACTGCTGGGATTTAATCATGCCTCATAGATAATAAATAAACCCATGTTCCAGAAGCTAAGAATTGAATAAAACTGCTAGAGAAATGCTGGGTGAGTATAATAGCCAGACAGAAAGGTTAAAAAATACACTTTCTTGTTGCAAACCACTGCCAGTAATCATTTTTCATACCCCGTTATTTCCTGCATCATTGATGGAACAGAACCGGCCATAAAAGTCGCCTTGGCAGGAGGTGCTGGCACTAACAATGGATCCTCACGCCAGAAGGCCTCTTTGCCAGACACAAAAACAGCCCGAAAAAGTGGACACATCCCTTGGAGGACCAAATAAATCAAGCTCACCTTGCGTTCTTATCTGGTGTTAAAACCTCTTGCCTCTCAGTCAGGGAACAAAGTCTCAGATGCGCTGTCTACGGAGATTAGGACAGTCACAGTCCAAACTGTTGTTTCTAGAATTAAACAAACCTTTAACCATGACAACATAATTTTTACATCTTGTGCTATATATACATTCTTACATTTTTGGTTATAGCAATGCTGACTACTACTGTAATTCCAGATTCATCACTTTCCAAATGCTAAGGCTCTCTACTCTACTCATAATCAGAGGCAAAGTGGAGCGAGCCAAGTAAGAATGTTAGTAATTTTTCGTACTCCAGTCAAAAACAAAAGGCAGTGGCAAATATCCTCTGGTGAAAAGTCAGAGTAAGAACATAATGATCAAGAAGGGCTTGAGTTCAAGACTCCCTTTCTGTCCTTTCCATCACAGATTGCTTTCAGGTTACATCACAGTCAGCTGTCATTTCATCTGCTGCCCACTGAAAGGTCATTGAAAACGAAAGTCAAAGTTGAAACAGATCAAATTTTGAGTGCAGCGCGAGACATAAAATCCAAGTGCTTCCGTCTCTGCTCTCTCCATAAGATTGGCTCATGGCTGATTCAGATGCAAAGAAAATCTCCTGATGACCATGTGTAGCATAAGGATGGTGTATAGGGGTAAGCAAGAGAAGTGTTTTACAATTGCTAGTCAACTATCAGATGTGGAGGCACTGACAAAACGTTATCACTCTGCCTTAAACAACTGCATTTCCCTGGACTTGTGAATAAAGTTACAACATGCTTATTTTTTATTTAACCTTTATTTAACCAGGAAGTCTTTACAAGAGACAGCTGGTAAGAATGTCAGTGTAAGATAGCTATTACATAGTTACATAAGAACACATATCATTAATTTACAACAACCACATAGAGCTCAACAAAACTTGAAGTAAACCGTAAATAAAATTTTAGCTCTTTTCCACAGCGTAGACCTTTAAGCATTTTTTCTATATTTGTTGCAAAGTGTCCACCGTCGTAAAGTGTCCTTGAGGCTGGCACTAAATTATCAGCAGCTGAAAGGTTGCGTCACTGTTGCTCACTCTGGTCAATGACCCCTGCACTCTGAAGAAGAGAGGGCAGGACTACTTAGAGGACTAATTACCCCTTTGGGATAACACACACACACACACACACACACACACACACACACACACACACACACACACACACACACACACACACACACACACACACACACACACACATTTTAATATGCAGTAGTGGTGCAACAACTTCCCTCTTCTTCTGCTGATTTTAGGTAACCTTATCTGGCTTACTGTTTTCTAGGCTTCATGTTTTGTTTTGTTTTCTTGTCTTTTAGTGAATGCTGTGTTGTTTATTCTCGGTTGATGTAAAGCACTTTGGACACCGGTTGGTTGCTGTAAAGTGCGATATAAATAAATGTTGATTGATTACTATAAAAGTGCATGTTATTTCTACTACAAAAGGTCCTTTAACAATGACAGCAAAAGTAAAACTTTTGTATTCACCGCTATTCCAGTCAATCTAGCCAATCATCTTTTATAACCAGCAGTGATGAGGGTGTTCTCTATACCCAGCACTGACAACAGTGACTGGCAGCTAAAACAGATTTCTATTTGTGAGGAAGTACCAGTGAAGCCAGCACAGCGCCCACATTTGGAGAGGAAACCAGAGGACTCATGTTCAGGTTGTATTTGTGTGTGTGCTGGGCAGCTGACCAGTCTAGTGTTTTAGCTGGTCTGTGGAAAGGAGTGGAGCGACAGACAGTGATGTGTGCAAACTCAGGAAGGCGTACAGGTAAATAGAAGGACAGGATAACATGGCCTGACACCCATATTATGATATATTGTTACAGTTATCTTGGTATGTATTTTTAATATATGAATGCATGTTATTTCCTGTCTTATGTTGTTTTATTTCTTATTTATTTGTCCTGATGAATTAAAATATGACCAGTTACAGATTCTGGACTGTGGGCATATAGTTTGGTTGAACTTCCATTTAGATGTCACTGATTATTGTGCTACACTTAGACACCAACTGCAGAGAGCACTTTTACAAGAAGGTTGTTAATTGGCAACAGTCCCCTGTGACGTGAGCCATTTTAACCTGTGAAAGATATGGTCAGCAGCAGCTAAAAATGAGAAGCGGCTACCTGAATGTTGAAAAACATTGCTCTTTGCAAATAAGAAAGAGAGGGAAGACGACAGACTCGACAATAGATCAATGATTTAACAAATGATTCACATGCTCATTAACAGCACAATGTGTGTGCGTGTATGTGAGTCAGTCAGTTCATGTAAGGAAGCAGCCAAGTAATTATATGCTGTGTGCAAACATACACACAATCCCCCCACCAATTCATATCCCCCCATTACTACCCCACCATTTTCTGTCTGTCTCAGACATGATCACTGGTGTCTTCCAAAGGAAACATTGTGCTTTCTCACAATGACTTCCACTAATGAACACACATTAACTTGGGGGGCATTGCATTTACTGACAATACTTTCTTAAGGATTTACCCTGATTTTAACAATAATCCCAACATTTACCCTAAAATGTATTTTTTTTTTGTTTTCCCCTACATTTTGTCCCCACACTGTGAGTCATACAAGGCGCTCTTAAACATGTGTGGACGTACAGCCATATGCACAAACATGCTCCACACACACACACACACACACACACACACACACACACACACACACACACACACACAAAGCCAGCCGTTACGAGAGCTGCCACGGGGAATAGAATGAAAATGAAAGCCGAGCGAGGGAGACGTGAGGAGAAAAAAGAAAAAAGAGGGAGGAGAAAAGCCCATGTGGCAGAGGGAGATTCTCATCTTCACTGAAATCAACTGATCCCTCCTTCCCTCCCTCCACTGCTAAAGCATTCTCTCTCACATCTCTCATTCCGTCTCTCCCCCTTCCATCTCCCTCCATCCCTCCATGTCCTCTGCCTCCCTCTTTCTCCTCCTTCCTCCTACCTTTATCTTCGTTCAGCCAACCTCTGCTCTATTTCTCTCGCCACCTCTCTCTCTTTTTACTTTCTCCATGCTCTCCCCTCCCTCCCACTTCTACTCCTTCTCTCTCTCTCTCAGCTTTCACTCTTTTGTATTATTACTCTCTCTGTATTCCACCTCCCTCATCCTCTCTCTGTCACAGTGGGAGAGCTGCAGGCAGACAGAGGCAGGCATACACTAATGTTACTATATTTGACAAGACACACACACACACACACACACACACACACACACACACACACATTCTCTTGCCACATGCACGACTGCACACACATACGGAAAAGAAGAAGAGGAGGTGGGAGCACAAACACACACACCGGAAAGACAGCCCTCAAGTGTAGTGTAAACACACACACACACACACACACACTCTGATGCGTGATGAGTGCAGGAATCACAAACATAGCGACACACAGAAGCGCATGACGCCCGCAACCTAATGCCGTTGTCTCTCTTTCGCTCTCTCTCTCACACACACACTCCGTCTCTCTATTTCACACACACCTCTCAGACACACACGGCAGTGCACAAGCCAGCGAACAGGACAGTGCTGGACGTATCATTTATATAGGGAATAGATCCGAAGAAAAGGATTAACGGTCTCCATCCCTCTCACTCTACGGACCTTATCCTCTCTTCCCTCCTCTTGTGTCTCTAAGCCTCTCTTCACTACATTTTTTTCACAATCCCTCCTTTTTCACCATTCATTGGTGGGTTGAAGGGGAAGCTGGGGGGGGTTGCCTCTACACAGAAAGAAGGATTATTCGCACATTATTCATTCGACCAGGATCTTGAATGTATGGATTTCTTTAACTGAAGCATTTTTCCTTCTATGTTTTTCCCTGTGAGAAATTTTTGATTTTTGATTTTATTGGGGGGGAGGGGGGCATTTTTGGGGGGGTGGCTGATGGCAGAAATCTATAAGGCTGTTACTGTCTGAGATATTTGGTTAAAAGGTAAGTCTGTAAGTCTCTCCCACACACACTTCATTTCAATGTAACTGCTCCTCATCTCGTTTTACGGATGGAATTAAAGATGTACTATGTCACACAAAGTAGACTGCAGACAGAGGCAGACTTGCCTTTGCCCCCTCACAAACAAATGGGCAATTTTGATGGGGCTAAAGGTGCATGCTGTGAGGAGGTGGATGCTGAAAATGTCAGCCCTTAAGCTGTTTCCTGGATACACACAACATGCACATTCATTCTGGTATTTTTTGGGCTGTGGTTTTAGGGCAAAGCTTGCAGAGGTGGGCAGTGGGAGAGGGTGAGAGCATCAGCGGTGTATTCACACACAAGTATGGGAGTAGGATTTAAGTGAGGTTCTGTTCTGATCGGAGCATTCCCTGATTTTGTAGTTATTTATATTTTACAGCTACGCATAAAAGTACATAGACAAAGACAGGCAGCAGCAAACCATTCAAGTGTAAAACACCTTAAAAGAAATCTAATATTTGAAAATAACAACACACCCTGCAAGGCATAAACAGTAAATGGTTTGGACTAAACTTATGATAACGATATTAGGGAACAGTGTTTTATTCCTGCTACAAGCCACTTGATTTTAATAGAAGCTTATGGAAGAAGCTTACTTCTTTGTCTGCTTGTACCTAACCTCTTGTCACATAATCTAGCCTAGCTAAAGTTAGCATGGCTAATGAACATACACAAAATGTACCCCCCATAGATGTATTATAATTCCATAACGTATTCAAACATGGCAGTGAGAGCTAATCACTTTGTGAAAATGCCCAGAAAAGTTTTGGTCACTTCCTGTTTATATACGAAAACATGTATAAATTAATTTAAAGTTTTTTTCTAGCTATGCTTGGTTGGCGGAACATGAAAATAATGTTTTTATACAACCATTCTTACCACAAATTAGGCCTAAAAGTTAAAATCTTGGGAATCTCAGAAAGTTTTTAATCTGGCGCGATGCTCAGGAAATGTTTTACATCCATTTATTTTTCAATGCACATGTATGGCATTACAGTACAATTAATATTATATCATTTGACACTTTTTCCATACAGACTTAATGTAAATAAGAAAATCGACATTTAACTCAAACAACGCTCCAGTTATTTGTTATGAATCTAATGTGAATACACAGCAGTAATATTTTGTTTTGTTTAGCTGCTGAAGGTGTGATGTAAGAGTGATTAACTTGAAAGAGCTCCACTGTGATTATATGATAATGCAGTGGGTGTGATACACTCCAGCCTAATGTCCTTAAGGCTCTTGTGCCTCTCTACATTAATGGGAATTGTCAGAATGACCTCCAAGTAATGTAGATGCAGTCAACACAAACCAGGGGAAAACAACAATTGTCATTATCTACCTCCACGGTTAGTGCTGTTTGACATGCATGTGATTAATTTTAGATGTATTTTAAAAAATGTACCATATTTTCTTTCAGCATATCAGTGGCATGTGACGCATGTGTTCAAGCTTACATGTACGGGAATGCTTGAACAAAACATGTGTGCTTTTGGACACGTGCACACTCTTACAACGTGCGCGCACGCGTGTGTGTGTCAGCATGTGTCTGCATACCTACATGCGTGTGTAATTATATATCAGGACATATTTTTGCACCATGTGCCTGTCAACACATATGTGGCTCTATTTGTCATGCTATGGGCATGTGCTTAGGTGTTTGTTTGTGTGTGTGTGTTTATGTGTGTTGCCCCAATCTCTCCACATCTCCTATGTAAGGAAGCCATTAAAAATTGATTTAGGAGAGCTTGGCTTGCCCCTCTCTGCCTTTGTTAGCAACCTGCACTGTTCCACAGGGAAACACACCAACACAGGCGCACACAAACAAACAATCACATGAACATACAACAGCAAGTATGAACTCAACCCTTTCAGTTATTATGACTTTGTTTCTTTTCCCTGTGTGGTTTGTTTTGTCAAAAAATCTGACTTTCACAGATCCCTTAAACAAGGCTTGAATCAAACAACAGCCAACTGCCAAATGCTAATGTGTGAGTAAAGGGTAGAGATGAAGGTGAATAATTGGGCTGTGTTTACAGCTGTGAAGTCACTCATTCAGCGGACACACACCTGCCTTCACACGTGGATAGACGTACTTTTGTGTGCAGGTGGATTTCAATTTGGTAAACGTTATTTCTGTCTTTCTCTTCAATCTTGATGATTGAATGCGAATGGATGAACTTGCATTGCGTGCTTCAGCTCCAAGACTAAATGACCATGTTTTACATTTACCAGCTGTTGTGCATTCATTATATACCTGAAGTTATCTTGTTTACACTCTTTCTTTCATGGGTGGATGAGACATGACGGGAAAAGCAAAGCAGAAATTTGTCTAGCTCCTGTAGATTAGTGAGACATACAATCAACCCACAGTAATCGTGTTTACATTCTTTTATTCACTTTGTGCTAGAGAGCGATGATCACAGCGGGGATGCTTGTACTGGATTCGCTGTATATATATGTTTGGCAAGCGTGAATTTAAATAAGAGAACATTACTGAGCCTTTCTCCATCTTGCTTCTTCACTCTCAACAATCCCCACTGGCATCATAAATATGTGGAAGAAAACACAAGCAGCCCAAGTTGACCAACCACAGCTGGTGGTCTATACTTGTTATCTCAGCCCCCAGGGTATTTTTGAAGAAATGCACGTCGGGGCTCTGCATGAAGCCCCTGCAGCACCCCGCGGAGTATAAATCCGGCTTAAGTGCGGACAGGAAACAGTTAGTGGAATAACATAGTGACAAAATATGATGGAAAGAGAGAGGAGGGAGAAGAGGAACAGAGGAGCCCAGAGGAGGGGTTACTTGTTACTTGATTCCCCAACATGCAGGCCACTCTGGCACCAAACCATTTACACGTGTGTGGGCGAATGTGTGCATGGGTGCAAGTGTGGATTTTGGCTGCCCCTGTGTCCAGGTCAAATTGGTAAAAAAAGCTTTCTGAGAATAGCCTGAGAGGCAGGCTTGCCACACCACCCATTTAACATGACGGGAATGGATGGGCAAACAGAACATGTGGCTGCAGAGGTGACCTTCTGCTAAACCTCCAATGCATCATTTATAGGACAATTTCGGCATGATTGCGCACATTTTGACATTTTAGCACATTTCACCCTGATGAATTAGATTTGTTTTCTTGTGCATGTTTAATTGCTTAAACGCTATTTCTGTCTTTCTCTTTTTCATCCACTCCGATTAATTTCCAAAATGGCATAGAAAAAATAAGAAGCAAGCAATCAACAACGAGATGTGAATGAGAGGCTAACAAACAACAATCAGTATTAGGCTAAAAAAATATGATGCATGTTGATAACCTGATATTCAGCATTTTGCATCAATGCAGACTCAATTGATAACTTTCTGATTGTAAAGTTACACGTTGCTCCCCAGCCAAACTGTTCTCCTCCCCAAATTAAATCAAAATAAACACAGACCAAGGTATCATTTACAGTCCTGAAGCTGAAACAGGAGTTAGTAAAGATCACTTGGCTTGAAATATTTAATTTAATGAATGACTACGACAAAGGAAAAATAGCATTCATCTCAATGTGTGAAGACTGCTTTGTTAAATGTTCTACAGTATGCGAGAAATGTTGTATTCACATCGGAACTGTCTGTTAATCTCACTTCTTCTTCAAATAGTCATATATTCACTACATGTTTTAAGCTGCTACACAGTGCTACCATTTTAGTAGTCATTAAATCAGTAATAATAAATAACTTCTAATAAATACTACATTTAAGAAGAGAGATGAATCTTCTTAAATTCTTCTCGTTTCTTGCATTTCTCATCGGCGGCTCTGAGTATTTCAAATGAAGCTCATGTGCTCATTTAAAAAGAACAACACAAATTTCCCAGCAGAGTCCGGCTAATGTGACTTTAATCGCACTCAGGAAATCCATCTGCCGAATATCCTCGTTACATGCCTGTGTTCCTTTGTCAAGGAGAGAAAAAGAGCCAGAGAGGGAGAGATGGAATGAGAGCGATGGGAAGGAGAGAAAGGAATAGTGGATATTGAACGATGAAGGTCATAGAGAAAGAGAAAAGATGGAAAGACTGAGGAAGGGATGTTGGAGAGGGGAAGAGGAAGTGAGGGAGCACATTATGCAGAGGGAATATAATGAAAGAGGGGAGAGAGCGCTGACAGAGTAGACTGTACTGTTTTATATTTTGTTCAGTGTCTGGCAGGTACTAATAGCAATAATGATAACACAAATAGCACCACTGGGGCGCACATACATACACACACACACACACACACACACACACACACACACACACACACACACACACACACACACACACACCAAAACACTCAGGAGGTTGTGGAGGAGAATTTTAATGTCCTCTCTGTTACACTTGTTTTATTTCCTACCTCGCCCCCATTTTTTCCTTTTATCCCTTCATCCATGTCTCTTTTCTACCCCTGAATTCCTCATCATCACCTTCTCTCTTATTTCAGCTCTTCCCCCACTTCTTCTCCTCTCCTCCAGTTTTCACTAACTCATATGTATAATAGGGATGCACCGAATGTTCGGCCAATGAAATTAATAGTCCAAAAATAGGAAAACAAGAACTTTCAGTGTTCGGCCTAATACGTCATAAGGCCAACAATTACGCTGACATGTTGGCACTGTGGAAGCATTTTAAAGTGTCCAAGAATGACGCAAAAATCTCCATTTGCAGACATTGTTCTGCTGAATTGAAAAAAAGGCAACAAACTGTCTGAATAGCTTTGAGTGTTTCTGTCACTCGTTTCTGAGAAGGCGATTAACCTAGCTGCACCTGAATCTGGGATGCACACGTATTCAAGCCTTTATGGTAAATCCACTGAAACGGAACAGAGCGAGCTGACAGGCAGGTTAGAGACTTTATCCTATCATTTTCTCTCTGTACAAAGACCAGTGTTGCAGTATGAGAGTCCTACATGAAGAGAGGCTGTGAAGTCTTCATGTTACGCGATACGAGAAACACATACAACATTTATCAAATTGGGTTGGACTTGATGAATTTAGAGGATACCCATGTGACAATGTCCAGTTTTCAAAATAAGGTGTCTATACAGGATGTAAATTTTAAGATTAATTGGATTATATTCACAGAAAGTATAAAACATATTACATGTGTACATTAAAAGTAAATGGACACATGTAATTGACTAAAAAAAGGCAAAATAAATGGAAAAAATGTGAATGTACTTGTTCGGTGTTTGGCAAATTTTTTCATTATATTCGGTTTTGTCTTCGGCCAAGAATTTTCATTTCAGTGCATCACTAATGTATAACTTGAACTGAACAGATTGATGAGTGACTGCATCTATGATGTTTTCACCTTTCTTTTCTTTTCACTCATCCACCTTATCCTCCTACTACTCTACATGATTTTGGCTTAGCATGCCTATTTAAGTTGGAACAGGTGGAAGCTGACATAATCACTGCACATGCATGCACACAAATTAGTGCAGTAACACAGTTACCTCCATTCAACTGTAAAAATGTGAAAATAAGACGTGTGGGAAGAAGCCTGCTCGTGTTTCTAAGTTTTCCCCACAAAGAGCTAACCAGTGAACAACAGCCTAATCTGATTAGCGCGATATTTCACACACTGCTGATAGGGTTTTGATGATACTTTGGGAAAAGACGCATCCCACAGCAGCACTCCAGCATTTTCAAAATTACACTGATTGGCCCAGGGGGTGCGAGTCAACAGAGTGCTTCAGTCATGTGGTATTGAGGTTCCAACGTGCTTTCTCCCATGGTAATTTCCCACTCGTAATACCTATTTTCACTGTAATGATTCAACAGTGAAGACTCATCTTTTTCAAAGCGCGTGGGATATGTTTCATCACACTGCTGTAATTGCAGTGGGTCATTGCTTTTTTCAACTTTTTTATCAAGAGAAAAGTGGTTTTATGTGTTCATGTCACTATAACTCCATTCATTCCGCTGATTGCCACTTACAGCCATTTGCCAACCACCATATTAGTGCAGAAAACAAAATAACAATTGCAAAACAATAACTAGCTATATATGACAACAGTAACAATACTTGTTTCTTTTGCAACACAATTTTCTATGACATTTCGTATGAGTCGATCACAGCCAGGTCTGTGGGCTATAGAACTGTCTTCTGAAACTTGCAGTCCAATAGCCTGACGTGAATAGTCCTGTATAGCTGATTTCCTGTATGGGAAAAGCTTTATTTTTACAGATTTGCTGAATAACCTCAGAAATTTCAGAGCTGATATAATTCATGGAAACGGTTAGACACCATTATCCCCAAAAAACTTGAAATATTTGTCTCTGTTTACTCAGCAGGCACTGGATTCAGTTTAGGTTTACTGTTGCTGTCTTACCTTTATTTAGATTTCAAAGAGTGCCAGCAGCTCTCTACTATTTCCTGCTCCTTGCTGCCTTGCACAAAGGTCATTTGGCATCACACACACAGACATAATGTCTCTGTTCATTAGTCTTCCCGTTAATTCTTTCTCCTCCTTTTCACTCTATGTTCTGTTTTTGTTCCTCCAGATGTATCTGTATTTCCCAGTTTATGTCATTATTACCGTGTTCTCTCTACCTTTTTTCTCTATCATTTTTTTAACCTCCTCCCCGCTTCTTCTCCTCTCTTTTCCTCTGTCAATCTCGCTTTGTTTCTCTCTCCATGTCAGTTTCTGTGCCAGACAGTAGCAATAGGGGGTCTGTCTGTGGTAAAGGAAAACTGATTGTGTAAACTGCCGAAGAGACACAGATCTATTATTTATGCCTATGAAATACTGGGGGGCTGTTTCTGATGCTTGCGCACATGCAAATACACACACACATACATATGCACACAAGCGAGCATAGGTGCAAACACTCATACGCAAAGACATGGAAATACACTTTCACTGTATTCGCGGAAACCTTCTTACAAATGTGAGCATACACACACACACAGCGTCCTGCTGTTTTAGCCTTCACTGCTGTCGGCAAATCTATCTATTGTCTTTTTTCTTTCTCTTATCAGGTGTTCTGGTGTCGCTTTTTGCAGTCGCCTGCCCTAGTGGAGGCTGCAGGCATGGCAGCTTGACGCCCCCCAATAGCCCCCCGCCCCTCCGACAGAGGAAGGCTGCAGAGCACTGTGTCATGCCCCCCCACATCCACCCCCCTGGGGGCATCCGCTTGCCCCTGCCCAGCTCTACCACCCACCACCTGGCCAGACCTGGTGAGTCAACAAAAATGGAAAGCAGATCGAAAAGATGTGAAAAACTGTCAAGAAGAGGAGACAAATAGTGCTCTTTTCCTACTCATCTCTGCTCTATTTTACTTCCATCTATTGTATTACTCACTACACATGGAAGGAAGAACCACTGTCTGTTTTGACAGCTGCTAATGTTAGCATGCCTGCCCAAACACACACACACACACACACACACAAAGGATGAGGTTATTGAGCATGCTGTGGCCACGTGCCAAGTCCTCCAGTGAAATGCCACATTACTGTATGTATTAATATAGCTCGCAATCTGTATAAACAAAACAGCATAGGGAGGGAAAGATAGTCGAGGGACCTTTCTTTTCCTATTCCTTTTACCTTTCTACCCTTACCCTACCCTTCTTTGCTCCCCTTTGCTTTCCTCTTCCTTTCACTTCCCCTGTCCTTCTTTTCCCAAAACATTCTTCTCTTCGTGTTCTTTTTTCTCACATATCTCACATTTTATACCACGGGTACACTCAGTCAAAACAAAAATCCATCAGAAGTCGGGTGGCCTAGCAACAGATACGACAGCTGTGTGCCTGTGTGTGTGTGTGTGTGTGTGTGTGGTGGATTAGACAGTATAGTGGTTGGATCCTGATCTCTGAGAGATTCCAGACAATTCAACAGCTAATAGGCAAACATGAGAGCTCCCTTCTGCATTCTTGCTATCTTTTGTTGTGCATTTAATGTAACACAAGTGTGCATGCATGAACACATGTTGCAATCTATGCAGCAAATAAATGGCTTTACAAAAAAAAGAGTCTATAAAAATTGGAATCTTTGTCTTCCTTTTGGAGAGGTATTATTGTTCCAGAGGTGTCTGGCAAATAAAAACGCCCCCACGAACTGCTGTGTAACATTGGGTACACTAAATAACAGGGCAACACTATCTGTCAGAACCTCCACACACCGCCTTTAAATTGATAGATATACGTCCCTCTGGGTCACTCAGATTCTTTCCATCTCCATCTCCATCCAACCACCTCATACCTCTTCTTTGTCTCTTCACCTTTTCTTCATCCTTCCATCCATCTCCAAATTAAATTCAGTTCAATATAACACCATTCACTGTCTCAGTTATCCTCTCTTAGTGTATTTCATTAAGCTTGATCCCCATACATATTGCATTAACAGTATTACTAAAGCCTTTTCAGGAAAAAGAATTAAAACTATTCTCCATTAGTCATCAAAAACATCAGTGTCTCCTCCATGCGATGACGTTCTTGGCATAAATGTAACACATTATTGCCAAATCAGTCTCTCTCTGTCAATTCAATTCAATATTCTTTGATGACATGAAATGTGCATTATCAACCTTGCCAAGCATACTTGTAACAGGTGTTTTCTCTGCCTCTCTCCTTTGCTTTTCCACTGTCTGTCTGTATTTTTCTTGCAAAGCTTAGAAGCTCTCTGATCTCTGCTGTTGCTCTGCATACTGTCATACACAAACAAGTACTGAGCCACTGGAAGACGCGTATAATAAGAGTAGAATGGGGTATGCATCCCATCAAATCAGAGCCAACAAATATGTCATACAGTACTGAGAATGACAGAGTTCAAATCATCAAGAATGTGTTTCCTTCTAATGCTGATGAAGTTCCCTTAGAAATGGAATTTGAAGGACAAAGAGGACACAAAAGATGTGTTTCTTTCCAATATATGGTTAATATTGCGCAAACATTTGAAGTGTTACAAAAATCAAAGGTGTGCTTTCATCTGCAGGGCAAAAGCAGAAGCTCTCTGAGTGACAGAACAGATCAACAAGAAAAATAGAGAGTGTTTCATGAAGTATTCTTCAGTGTCAGCTAGTGTTGGCCATACTTTCAACTAATGGCCGTATAGCTGTGATGAAACGTTGTAACCTACATGAGACAGAAAGTGATATGTCATTCCTGAAAGGCTGTGGATGATGCTTAATGGTTGTTTTTGATTCTTTCAAACCCAATTTTAATCTTTTAATTTGATCAATAAATGCATTTCCACCACAGTTTATTGTTTACTTTCTTCGCCACTAAAACACCTATTAGTCAACTGGAAATTCAACTGGTAGATGGTTTTATAAAACTTTCCATGTTCTCGAGAAAGATTCTCATTTTAAGTCACGTAATCTTCATCTACGCAAATTCCAAAAATAAAAGGAAGGCGGAATAAAGACGGTTATTTTGAAAAAGTTACCAAAAATCCTGACACTAAAAAGAGAAAAGACGACAGGGTTAAAGAGCTTAAAAATGACAGAGAACACCACAGAAAAAGACAATAGGAGCACATTAAAAACAGTGCAAACGAGACGAGGAGAATATAAAATGTGAGTGACAGAAAGAGTGAGACAGAGAAAGCGAGAAAGAAAAGGTGGCAATAGTGGGTAGTGGAGAGGAGGTGGAAGAGAAATGCAAGATCAAAGAGGCGTAGTGGAAGAGAGAAGACAGTGAGGAAAAGAAAGGATGAAGGAGGAGAGGCGAGAGAGGAGAACAGAGAGGTCTATGAGCGACACAGAGACCATATGGTGCCTCCAGGCCTCCACGATCCCAGCAGACTCTCTCATCTGACACAACAAACACACATTTGCACACAAGCAGGCATGAAATGATTCCTATTCACACACACATAAACACACATTGTAGCTTATCTGATCATACTGTGTGTGTGTGTGTGTGTGTGTGTGTGTGTGTGTGTGTGTGTGTTTATGCACCTTGTCGCAGTCCCAAACAAAGCCGACAGATTAACTGACCACATAGCTTGTATTTAAAAGAGTGACAGAGAAAGTGACAGAGAGAGAGAGGGCGAGAGGCAGGAGGATTTGGCTTTGAATGGAGATCTAATACACTGACTGAGGTTAAAACATTTGGTTTGGAACAGAGCCATCATAAAGTCACTTAGGTTGTAGCATTATGCTTGGAGCACAGCTGTAATATAGTGCGGTGACTAAGGGAATAGCATAAGGTCTGGAACGGAGCCACAGTAGAGCTCAACTGGCTACAACACTGTCAACATTAGGCTAGTTTAATTTGAACTATTTAAAGACACTGGTCAGCGGTGAAAACATACCAACAAATCAAACTCATCATTTGGGTGGTTAGTAGATGATGGCAGTTTGGGAAACCCAGCTGGGATGTTGGGTTCGGCATGAAGCCACAGCAGTGTGACAGAGTGTGTGTGTGTGTGTGTGTGTGTGTGTGTGTGTGTGTGTGTGTGTGTGTGTGTGTGTGTGTGTGTATGTGTGTGTATGTGTGTATGTGCGTGTGTGTGCGTGTGTGTGCGTGTGTGTGCGTGTGTGTGTGTGTGTGTGTGTGTTTAGCATTAGGTTTGGAGTGGAGCCTGATCCCTTCACATAGTGTTACATGAGACTTGAAGTTAAATACAAACTGGAATGACAGTTTGTTGGCAAACTATCCAACGCATCTGGCAATTTCAAGTATGCAATCAATAGCTATTTTAATGTGATAGTTATTTTGAGAAGTAGGGATCACAGGTAAATACATTTACTCCACAAAGGTTAAACTTTTAAACAACATGGGACAATTTGAACATTCCTCTCTCTGTCCTACTTTTTATAGCACTGATCTTTCTAGGAACACAGAAATATTATCTTCTGTCAGGGCACTGCGGCTTTGACCCCTGACCTCCTTAGTGGCCTGTGGCTTGTAATGTTTGTTATCAGGGGATTAAAGTGGAGTTTGTTGTGGTGGTGATTTTTTACATCATCTCGGCTACCAGCGTCATGTAGGAATTTCCACTGCTGAGGTGACTGAACTAGGTCCAGCTGTGCATGTTGCACGCAGAAACCTTAGTGCACATGTCTGTGAGCACAGTCCCCCCCGTTTATTTACCCTTTTCTTCTGACCACAGTAGAGTTTGGTACCAGATGAAATACACAAATATATGGCGTTGGCCCACTTTCAAAGAACATTGGCAGGGATAAATCTGGATAATCCTCTGCACCACAAACAGTACCACTCCAGTTCAGCACTTTGCAAAACGATGCTGATACAGTATTACACTCAAAACAAGTCCAGTATGGATCAAGCATGAAACTGAAAAGTTATCATGATCATAGCAATGCCCATTGCTGAGACGAAAATGTACTTTACTCTCAAGTAATCATGGTGAATTGCTGATAATGGTCCTGGATAATATAGCCATTTGTGATGTGCTCAGTTTGTCTTAGTGAACACTCCATGAGCCACTGTAAAGGGCATCCAATTAGAAAGATAAGCGATCTCAAGCACTGTACAGACCAAATCTAATATAAAGATTTGAGCTTCTACTTTACGTCTATCTATCTATCTATCTATCTATCTCTTTCTGTCTCTTGATCTATAAAAAATGTGGTTTACAGCCCTAAAACCAAACAACCAAATCAAAACTGTGCATGTGTGCGCACGCTTTGGATCAATATCATCTGTCTATCCATCCCTTCTGAGGAATGAGTGGGCATACATTACGACCTGCCACACATCCAAGACAGAATCTATTCTATTCTAGTCACACTGATGCAGATGCGACATCAAAAGCCAAGCGTCCTTCATTTTCTCTCCAAATTCTGAATGTATCCAGCCTTGGACAGAGGCCCAGTTGAGTGGTCACTAGAAAGCAATGCTACATCCATCAAAGAGATGGTGTTACAGCGAAATATATATAGCCGTTATTTTAGATTTGCTGAAACTCCTTATGCTTTACTGATAATTTGTTTTCCATCACTTCTTGATATCCTTTTATCTCTTTGTCCTACCTGACATTTTTAATGATTCATTTTGTGAAAGTGGCTAATTAATAGCCACTATCACAAAAACGATGTCACTCCATGTCATACTTTCCCATTGGCCAAGCTTTTGTGTGTGTGTGTCACTACAAATTGATACAGATAGCATGAATTAGAGAGGCAGATCAGACTACATATTACCCGCTCATCCCTCCAAGTCAAAATAATGATTCTGTCTTACCGATGCGGAATTCATCACAGGAGAAAT